CGTTTCCTTTTACTTTGTACAGGTGACATATGCTAACCCCACTTACTCCGACTTACCCTACTAATCATATGGGACCCCGGACTTCTATTCCAAGGACTACTCAGTGTGAACTAAGAGCAACACAGAGCATCTAACACAATCCCACTCGGCGTTAATAAAACGACCTTTTTAGGCCTTTATAGAGCATGAATCACGCTTTTTGACTGCACAACAATCTGGTTTTCCTTCTTAATAAAACGACCTTTTTAGGCCTTTATAGAGCATGAATCACGCTTTTTGACTGCACAACAATTTGGTTTTCCTTGCAGGCAGTTGTCGTTGCCAAGGTGCCGCAGCCCCGTGGAGGCACGCACTCTATGATATGTGCGTGCGTGTGTGCGCCTGGGGTGTGGGGATGCGTATGGTGGGGATGGGGGCAACGTCGTGATTTCCAGCATACTAGACAACTTTTAAGTACTTGAAAATTTACTTACATTACCTGTCCGGCAGGCAATATTAGTGTGTCAGATAGAATTTGTCTGAAGCAAGAAAAGAAAGGTGATACGTGATACTTTGATATATTTATTTCAGTCACGGTATCCGGGAGCGGGAACGTATCGTTTGTAACGTTATCGAGGCAGTCTCAGTGTCAGGCACGTGGGGAAGCAGGGTCGTTCACCGCCACGAGGAACTCAGTATACACTTTCCCCCTCACCTTTGACACTTGCCAAGACAACAGAAGTTTATCTGCAGTAGGCTACACAACCAAGTACACTGACTGAGGTCGGTAGTATATATTATAAGGGCTATAACATCTCATACTCAACTATAATATGAAATTATGTATTCATAATATAATAACCATTAAATATAACTTTTTGATTAAATATCCAATATCAGATATTCTATACGTAGTGAAACTGGGTTGGGAATCAAGTTATTTGGTTTTGTCTCGATTGGCTCCTTATACTGTTTTTTTTTGGGGGGGGGGATGGGGTCTGCCATTCCCCTTCAATGATCCGTCACTAAGTACAATATGTAGTGAATATATTTGTCACTTTCTCCACCTCAGTCCAGTGAGGCAATAAACCTCCATGTATTTGGTCCGCTGACAGACGCTAGCGGGGAAGGGACAGGTTTATGACAGCCGTCGCTAACAAAGAAAGGTATATATAATTTAGGTGGGTGCAAATTCTTTTATGGCAAATATCCAGTGTACACAAAGATGCGGACAGTGTTCTTGAAAATAAATGAAAATCGACGAGGCGGCTCCTGGGCACACCCTGCGCTGCAACCCCAAGATTATATTTAGGCTATAGCCAAATAAATAAGGGTAAAATCCGCGCCTGCATACACTATCATTGCCGTAAATGTCAAATGCAGATTACTCACTTCTTGAAATAGGGGCCTATATAACTGTCTATAACATAATTATAATAAGAACGCAGAAGGTCACTGGTATATGGTCTCATGTTCTACTCTATACAAGAGGCTAGCTGAGTGATGACGTCATTTCAATATTTTCTAACAGTATAAAGGGCATAGAATTAGCCAGAGATATGTGAATATTTAGGGGGAAATAAATTTGTGGCCTTGGTAGACGATAGTCTCATACCCTATACTACGACCGCAAATTATATGCACTTTTCTCTGACGCGGTGAAGAAATNAACATAATATTATAATAAGAACGCAGAAGGTCACTGGAATATGTTCTCATATTCTACTCTATACAAGAGGCTAGATGAGTGATGGCGTCATTTCCATATTTTCTAACAGTATACAGGGCATAGAATTAGGCTTCATTCACATGCAATGTCTATTTTCTAAATTCTATTTTCTATTCGCGGTATGTCTTATGATCACGGTCTGTGCCCTTAATATCCCGCGGCGTAATTACTGGCAGCGCGAGCCAGTTACTATAAGTTACTATAAGTAACTGGCTCGCGCTGCCAGTAATTACGCGGCGGGATATTCAGGGCACATACCGTGATCATAAGATAGCGCGAATAGAAAATAGAATTTAGAAAATAGACATTGCATGTGAACGAAGCCTTAGCCACCTATATGTGAATATTTAGGGGGAAATAAATTTGTGGCCTTGGTAGACGATAATCTCATACTTTACACTACGACCGCAAATTATATGCACTTTTCTCTGAGGCGGTGGAGAAATGTGTCATGAATTAATTAAAGACGTACCTGTAAATATCTAGTGAAAAAATCATTCTGTGGCCCTGGTAGAGGGTAGTGGTCTCACTCTGCCTACTAGTTAAAAAAAAAGATGATACTTTCACACGTGACTGTGACAACCTTTCTTTTCTAAACATGTCGGTATCAGTTTTTCTCCAATTCCAGGGAGACAGTGTATAAAGGAAGCGATTCGTACTGGACAGGCGTCACGTCAGCTACATCGAATACCGAGGACATAGCGTGTGACACTAGCTCCAAGACACCGCCATTTTCATACCAAATTCCCAACATAATCCTGTGGTGAGTTGTATTTATATGCGGGAATCAAGTCCATGCAATGAGCTAGCCGACATTCTTTTCGTGTACAGGCAATGAGATCACTTCTTCCTGTGGAGTTAGCTTGGAAAGAGTAATCGCCTGCGTTATACTGCGAGAAATTTGCCAAGTTTCTTTCTGAGCTGTGAAAAATATTCTCCATAAGGCAACTGCATAGTATAAAAACAGTTTCCTTGTACCCAGAACACGGCTATACACACCATAGCAGACTATAATATTAGGCAGAGGTAGACATCGATCTTCTGCTCTCGCATTTTCATATGGCTTTCTATGTATATGTGCCTCGAATGAACAGTGGGAGATTAAATAAACTTCTTCTGTATTGTAACTGCCGTCTTCCTTCATTTCACTCTCTGAATAAGTAAAAATTGCCTTTCCCCGCGCGCGCCGTCCCAGCAGGGGAATAAGTAAATCTTGGCTTGTTTTCAAGTGGGTCGCACCATGTTTGATCCCCGGACTAGTTAGATCACTTGGTTATAAACATATGACCCTAAAGTTCCTTACTGAGCTTTAAAAAATAATCTCCAAGAGCCACCTACCTTGTTGTATAACATTATCCTTGCAAAAGATTCCAGAACATGTCTACATGCACCATAGCAGACTGTGATATTACTCAGAGGCAAACATTTATCTTTTGTTCTCTGATCTTCATATCACTTCTTTCTGCTGTGTGACTCAAATGAGATTAAACAACTTCTTCCTTATTTCAACCACCAATGTCTGTTTTCCTTCATTCCACTCTCTGAATAAGTATAAATGCTTCTCCACACATATTCCTATCATTAATGCATTAATCCTCGATGTGGAAATACCACATGTAATGGCTTTCACACCTTAGGGCGGTTATTCATATGCATATAAAGTCACTGTCATCATGAAAACAATGTGGTCTATTACCATAAAACATGATGACAAAAATACATGATTTAATGGGGGCATTTCACAGCGTCATCATGGAAAGCCAAACAAAATGATATCAACTTGATAGGGTAACAATAATTTTTTATCTTTAAAATCCATTTTAAGATTTCCTATCGTATCTCTATATTATCTTTAAAGAATTTGCATTAAACCGAACAATGGAAATACTCTTCTCTAAAATGAAGACATTAATAACGTGTACTTACTCATCTTGACAGCTTCCTGGCAACCCACATAACATCACTAGCACAGGATATACACAACACTTTAACAAAAATTAACTACATAATAACTCCCCTTGCTCAGGGAAACCCAGTAAATTATAAATAGTATGTTATACATAGTATGCCAAGCTTCATCTTTATTCATCTTAGTCACAGTGATCTATAAAAAGCTGCCTCTTTTAAGTCCACAGCTGGTAGCGATCAGATGTTTATAGCTCTAAATCTGCCAAGAATACCAAAGATCCCTTCCAGCTTGTTTTCCTAGACTGGGTTCCCATACCTAGATTGATCTAACAAGATCAGTCCATCTCCAAGGGGTTTCTTTCTAAATTGCTTTCAGCTTAAGCAGCTTAGACATCTGTCACGCCTACTGAAGCTGCTAAATGATAGTTAATTATCCCCTAGCAGCTACAGTAGGCGTGACAGACATCTAAGCCACTTTAGTTGATCATCATGATTGCAATTTAACGAGAATCCCCTTGGAGATAGATTGATCCACAGTTAGAACTATAGGCTCTGGGAATGGTCTCCTAGATACCAATGTAACCACCTATAAAGACTGACAGTAATCCAAGAAATGGATAAGAAATGAACTTAGTTTGGACTCCACTGGCTGGGGTATGTGCCAAATCAACGAGTCTGCAGCTGCTGGGAGTTTTCTTCATCCATGAATCAAGTACTTTGTAATTAAACAATATAATTGCTAGGACTTAATGTCCAGTTGGTATAATCGCCAAGTTAACACAGCTTTTCTAAACTACCATAGGCAATTCCATTTTCTGTTATACAATTTTATTAACACTCATGCAGTGACTGTCGAATAAATACTTCAATAAATACATAAAAAATGTGTGTGTGTGTGTGTGTGTGTGTGTGTGTGTGTTACATGCATTGAACTGACCACATGGGCACAACTAATTACATGATTTTAATTAATTTTATTGTAATGGCCTCAGATATAGTGTGGTTTGCTTATTCTGGGTGTAATATCTGTAATATGGTCTGAATGAACAATATTTGGATGTAATATCTGTAATACAGACATGCTGAAAGCTTTTCAGAATGGCCAGACATTTGGACCAGCAGTGATAAAAAATTTGCTAGACCGAATGGATTTTTGTCAGACCGAAAATCACCCTATTCGTTTGAGACAGATACTATCAGTACGATTAGGTAGCTTACTTTGTTTGTGAATGTGATAGTTTTGAAATGGAAGGGAAAAATGCTTTGGGTTTTATATAATTTTTTTTAGTTAAGTATGTTGAATGATGACTGTAAATTCAGAATTGTGGTTCTTAAAACTCTTGTCAGTCCTTTGGACTGACCAAGTCCAATCTTGAACTCTTCTACGGGTCCAGACAAATTTTCTTGGTCATGACCGATCGGACTGACAGTTTCAGCATGTCTGTAATATGGCCTGAATGAACAATATTTGGACACAATATCAGTATTATATCCAGACTGTACAATATTTGGATGTAATATCTGTAATAATATGCCCTTGTTATCTCAGTATTTGTCTTTTGATCTTCAATATGTGACATTACAGGACAACATGTTCAATATGAGGTAACTTCTTCTCTAAAAGACATGAATCCCTCAATCAGAAGGCTGGAAGAAGAATGACGGCATCTCTTTGAGGTTTTCTGGGCTTATGTCACAGTACACCATATTTGTACTTATTTCCATTCAAAATGCTGTGTTCCATCTCCTGTGAAGTCAGTTGATATATCAAGGATCAAGAACCACTAGCCTGTAGACTACCAGCTGAAAGTCTTTCTATATCATCTAGGTTTAAACTTTTTATACATTTTCCATATATCTGAAAAAAAAGTGTATGCTCTTGTTCAAGAAAAGTGTTGATTTCAGAAGTCCTTTTTACAATAATTTTACACTATCAGTACATAATATTTCAGTTAACACAAATGATGGGATTATGCAATCTACTTAAATTCTTAAAACTTAAATTAAAATCTTGTCTATATAAAGGCATGGATGGAATATCATAAGATAATGTGTCAGTGCAAACAATTTTTTATTTTGTGCCTGTCTGCAACAAGCACTGCGTCTACAAAGTCGATTGTAATAATTAATTTAGGGATACAAAAATACAGAGTTATCTATCATATATCTTGTTTCCAGTTACATTTACTGTATGTAGATATAACAAGAATTTATAACCTCCAAATGAGTTTTCTCACCTTTTCAAATTCCTTTAAAACCAACTTGGCATCTTTTGCACTGAAATGTCGTAACAAGGTCTGCTCCAAGGCTTCTCTGAGTTCTTTTGTTCCTGCTGATTGCACACTTGTGGCTCCAGTACCAGGTTTGAGAGTCAGAAACACCTTGTCACCACTTGACAGCTTATAGGCACCAAGTGTTTGGGAATCTGAAAATTGTCAAATGTAATAATTATACATATGCTTTCCTAGTCACACTTAATTCAGTGTCAATTTATGAGGTTATACATATATATACTACTTAATAACATTGATGAAGCGGAATTAGTTTAGGAAAACAACAAATTTAATTCATGATCACATATCACATCAAGCTTCATTGTACATGGACAACAACATAATTACATAGAAAATTGAAAATGTGTGTTTAATTAACCTGCTAAAGGTTTTCCTTTGAACACTAGTCTCTGTTGTTCTGGGGGAACACCCAAACACTTCTCTACCTGCTCCTTCAGTGTCTCCACCATGTCACTGGGTTGAATCTACGAGTGGAGAAAAAAATGCATAGACTGATACAATGCACATGTAACATTAAGTTATTTTAATTACATTTTAATTTTAATTAAGTTAATTAAAACTGATATTATGCAGGCGGCTAAAATAACCAATTTTATAATTGATTCTACATGTACACCTGTCATCACTTCAGCCCAGACAATCCTGCAATAGATACCAAATTTGAATCAATTTTTCCCTACGACTCCAACTTCCCTGTGCGTCGAGTAAAGAATGAGTGTGGCAGTGCTGATCCTATAGTCTACTAGTGCTACACATTTCAATGTGTGATACCAGTAGAAAGAAATTAGAGACATGCACACCTAACGAAATCTTAGGCTTTAACGTACTTTAATAACTATACCGGAACCATTTGACCATTTACCAAAAAGTATAAACAAATCCAACAAAACACACCTCTACACTGCACTGCTCTGATTTACCCAGAAATTTTACCACCAGTAACATGGTGTCGGTGTGTTGTTATGACCTACACGTGACGGAACTGACGAAAGCAGGAAAGAAGGAGGAAATCCCCTCCCGCGCAGAGATATATGGGAAATTTTTCATGAAAAATTCACCCATTGAGATTAATTTCACCTCTTCTCAAACTTCGTAAACATAATAGACAAACAACAATACATGTGGATATATTATGCAAATTACTTAGCTATTTTTATAAGTGCTTTGTCGACTTCTTTTGTTCGCGCATTCAAGCACTCTTCGAGCATTCCATCAGTTGCGATTTACCATTCGGTGTTTTAAACTGCTGCTTCAAATCATTGCATCGATGGTATGATAAACAAAATCCCTTTCAAGCAAAAGGTGTGATTGTAGTTTGCATCACTTGAGAGATCTTTATTAGGTTTGTTCGCATTAAGTGGAATATTGCTTAATATATATCGCGCGTGACGGAGGGAGGCTAGCGGTAGGTGTAGCAGCAGACGTCTTCCTCCTCGTCTGCCACTGGCTCTCTGCTGACCAACCAATCTCTGCACACACCAACAGGTCGGTAGTATTGTCAAAACCAGCCAATAGATTTACGATGTACGAAGTTTAAAGTGGGGATTGCCCCAATTGTTCTTGTATTGAGTAGATTAGGAGTTATTTATATTGGGAAAAGGTCATAAGTTACTTGAATATAAGCGGTTGTTGTTCGCCGCCATTTTCCAGTATTGTTGCAGGTTTTTAGTTTGTGTAGTTGCAGTCATTGAGTAGATCTGTGGGTCGTGTACTCATTCTGGAAATAATGCATGGTTACTTGGATTTGGAATTAGTGTTCGGGGGCGTCTCGATAGTCCGAAGGTTCATTGGTCCGAAGGTTCATTGGTCCGAAAAGTGGTAACATTTTCATCGATTTTTTAATCAAAGGTTCATTGGTCCGAAGGTTCTATAGTGAATATTCGGACCAATGAACCTTCGGACTATTGAACCTTCGGACTATTGCTACGGCCCCTAGTGTTCACACGACGATGACTGTTTATTTAATGCCACATTTTTTGTTTGTAATTGTATATTATGAGTAATTTTAATCTTATCCAAAAGTTACAGTAAGAAGAAAATGACCGGTAGACTAATCAAAATTAGGTACCAAAGCAAATGTTGGCTGCTGTAGTGAAGGGAGAAGAAATACTGACTTGCAACTTACAGTTTCCTTGGTCACCCACCTTCAGCAGAAGCACAGTCACAAAAGTCGTCCCACCCCAAACACCACTTAGCATGCCCCAGCTCAGTAGATTTACTATAAAGAGTTTGTTCACACAGTCTATACTTATTCCCTTTTCTGTCCCTGTTTACTGAAAGGGCAGTTTCAAGATAAGGCTGGTTTTTTATGTCATTACATTTTATGTCTATCAACAGTAAGAAAACCTGCAGGGTTTGACATAGCAACTAGGAAGATAGGTATGTTTACCCATCACAAGCAGATGCAAGTGACTTGCTAATGGATCAGTTGTAAACTTGATATAAATTGGATTTCAGAAACTCCTTCCCAATCACTATTTGAACATTTTTATTTTGCCAAATTGTTTTTTGGAGTGGGGCAAAGGCTTGAAAATAATTTATGTTACAGCCCTGACTTAACATTGTAGTAAGACAGTAATCACTCACATGTATACCTAGAAAAAAACAGGATAATTTGAGTGCCAATTCCTGTCATTGTCAACCATGTCTTTATATTTTCATTAATTTAAGTTGTAAATATTTTCCTTTTTACAGAGACATGGATAACAGTGAAGGTGCTACAGATGCCTCAGGACTGGGGGATTCTTTCTTACAGGACAGTTCATATCTCCAAGGTGCAGTCTCTTCCTATTTGTAAATTTATCTTTGCCACAGAAATATGATTACTTTTCAAATTGTTGTTTATATTTTAGAGGATAAACTTCAACAACACTCTTTTGAAGAACTTTATTTATGTACAGACTTGTGCCTCATCCATTGTATTGTCATGTTTATTTAGACACAAATCTGTTTTAAAGAGTTAAATGTATGTGATAATGGGCAAGTGAGAAAGAATGTTGAAGAATTATTTTATGCCATGCAGGAGGAACTGATGCTGAGGACAGTCTTAGAGAAGACAAGGGAAGTGAGGAGCCTCTCAGAGAACAGGTTTGTCACCTTAACTTTTATTTTTACTGACAGGAGTTATGGTGAGGCTGATCAAATCACGTAAATCCAAGTGTATTATTTGGTTGAATATATGCAAACATGAGTTTATCAGTAACAGTTTAAACCGTCATTGAAATTCTCCAACAACTAGTAATTACCATACCCAGAATGTACTGACAAAGTGATTCTTGTTGCTCCTGTCAGTGAATTTAAACACATACATTTTAGACTTGACTGACAGAATATACGCTTGCATGGTTCTGCACCAGTTCTGTGTGAATCACAAAATGTTATAAGATCAAATTGATATTTAATATAGATAAATATTATTTCCTAATAGAAGCTTATTGTACAAACAGTATANCCAGTGGCTGCAGTACCAGGTTTGAGAGTTAGAAACACCTTGTCACCACTTGACAGCTTATAGGCACCGAGTGTTTGGGAATCTGAAAATTGTCAAATGTAATAATTATACATATGCTTTCCTAGTCACACTTAATTCAGTGTCAATTTATGAGGTTTTACATATATATACTACTTAATAACATTGATGAAGCGGAATTAGTTTAGGAAAACAACAAATTTAATTCATGATCACATATCACATCAAGCTTCATTGTACATGGACAACAACATAATTACATAGAAAATTGAAAATGTGTGTTTAATTAACCTGCTAAAGGTTTTCCTTTGAACACTAGTCTCTGTTGTTCTGGGGGAACACCCAAACACTTCTCTACCTGCTCCTTCAGTGTCTCCACCATGTCACTGGGTTGAATCTACGAGTGGAGAAAAAAATGCATAGACTGATACAATGCACATGTAACATTAAGTTATTTTAATGACATTTTAATTTTAATTAAGTTAATTAAAACTGATATTATGCAGGCGGCTAAAATAACCAATTTTATAATTGATTCTACATATGTACACCTGTCATCACTTCAGCCAAGACAATCCTGCAATAGATACCAAATTTGAATCAATTTTTCCCTACGACTCCAACTTCCCTGTGCGTCGAGTAAAGAATGAGTGTGGCAGTGCTGATCCTATAGCCTACTAGTGCTACACATTTCAATGTGTGATACTAATAGAAAGAAATTATAGAGACATGCACACCTAACGAAAGCTTAGGCTTTAACGTACTTTCATAACTATACCGGAACCATTTGACCATTTACCAAAAAGTATAAACAAATCCAACAAAACACACCTCTACACTGCACTGCTCTGATTTACCCAGAAATTTTACCACCAGTAACATATGGTGTCGGTGTGTTGTTATGACCTACACGTGACGGAACTGACGAAAGCAGGAAAGAAGGAAATCCCCTCCCGCGCAGAGATACATGGGAAAATTTTCATGAAAAATTCATCCATTAAGATTAACTTCACCTCTTCTCAAACTTCGTAAACACAGTAGACAAACAACAATACATGTGGATATATTATGCAAATTGCTTGGCTATTTTTGTTATTGCTTTGCCGACTTCTTTTGTTCGCGCATTCACGCACTCTTCCAGCATTCCATCAGTTGCGTTTTACCATTCGGTGATTTAAACTGCTGCTTCAAATCATTGCATCGATGGTATGATAAACAAAAATCACTTTCAAACAAAAGGTGTGATTGTGATTTGCATCACTTGAAAGGTCTTTATTAAGTTTGTTTTCATTGGGTGGAATATTACTTAATGTATATTGAGCGTGACGGAGGGAGGCTAGCGGTAGGTGTAGCAGCGGACGTCTTCCTCCTCGTCTGCCACTGGCTCTCTGCTGACCAACCAATCTCTGCACACACCAACAGGTCGGTAGTATTGTCAAAACCAACCAATAGATTTACGATGTACGAAGTTTAAAGTGGCGATCGGCCCAATTGTTCTTGTATTGAGTAGATTAGAAGTTATCTATATTGGGAAAAGGTCATAAGTTATTGGAATGGAAGCGGTTGTTGTTCGCCGCCATTTTCCAGTATTGTTGCAGGTTTTTAGCTTTGTGTAGTTGCAGTCATTGAGTATGGGTCGTGTACTTATTCTGGAAGTAATGCATGGTTACCTGGATTTGGAATTAGTGTTGACACGACGACCACTGTTTATTTAATGTTGCATTTTTTGTTTGTAATTGTAATCTTATCTAAATGTTACAGCTAGAAGAAAATGACCTGTAGACTAATCAAAAATTAGGTACCAAAGCAAATGTTGGCTGCCGTAGTGGAGGGAGAAGAAATACTGACTTGCAACTTATAGTTTCCTTTGTCACCCACCTTCACCAGAAGCACATTTACAAAAGTTGTCCCACCCCAATCACCACTGAGCATGCCCCAGCTCAGTAGATTACCTAGAAAGAGTTTGTTCACACAGTTTATACTTATTCCCTTTTCTGCCCCTGTTTACTGAAAGAGCAGTTTCAAGATAAGGCTAGTTTTTTAATGTCATTACAAATCTCTATCAACTGTATGAAACCCTTCAGGACTTTACATACCTACTAGGAAAATAGGTATATATTTACCCATCACAAGTAAATCTGTAGCTAGGCAATTAGAATTTAAGTTGTACTTGCCAGCAGATCATGATGCAAGTGACTTGCTAATGGCTCAGTTACTTGATATAAATTGGATTTTAGAAACTCCTTCCCAATCATTTATTTTGCCAAATTGTTTTTTGGAGTGGGGCAAAGTCTTGAAAATGGTTTATGTGACATCCCTGGCCCTGACTTGAACCATGAAGTAAGACTGTAATCACTCATATGAATACCAACTTACCAAGGAAAAAATGGTGATTTGAGGGCCAATTAGTGTCGTGGTCAACCATGTCCTTATATTTTAATAATTTTGTTTTAAATATTTTCCCTTTTACAGGGAAATGGATAACAGTGAAGGTGCTACAGATGCCTCAGGACTGGGGGATTCTTTCTTACAGGACAGTTCATATCTCCAAGGTGCAGTCTCTTCCTATTTGTAAATTTATCTTTGCCACAGAAATATGATTACTTTTCAAATTGATGTTTATATTTTAGAGGATACTTGAACAACACTCTTTTGAAGAACTTTATGTTATGTGCAGAGTGCCTAATGCATTGTATTGTCATGTTTATTTAGACACAAATAAGCCTGTTTTGAAGTGAAATGTTTTGTGATAATGGACAATTGAGAAAGAAATGCTAAAGGATTATTTTATGCCACGCAGGAGGAACTGATGCTGAGGACAGTCTAAGAGAAGACAAGGGAAGTGAGGAGCCTCTCAGAGAACAGGTTTGTCACCTTAGCTTTTATTTTTACTGACAGGAGTTATGGTGAGGCTGATCAAATCACGTAAATCCAAGTGTATTATTTGGTTGAATACATGCAAACATGAGTTTATCAGTAACAGTTTAAACCGTCTTTGAAATTCTCCAACAACTAGTAATTACCATACCCAGAATGTACTGACAAAGTGATTCTTGTTGCTCCTGTCAGTGAATTTAAACACATACATTTTAGACTTGACTGACAGAATATACGCTTGCATGGTTCTGCACCAGTTCTGTGTGAATCACAAAATGTTATAAGATCAAATTGATATTTAATATAGATAAATATTATTTCCTAATAGAAGCTTATTGTACAAACAGTATGTATATTTCTATTACAGGACAGGTTTCTGCCCATTGCCAATGTAGCAAGAATCATGAAGAAGGCCGTGCCAAAGATGGGGAAGGTACGTACAGATTTAACATAAGAAAAATCCTCTGCCTAATTGAATTCCAACTTAAATATTAGATTTAAGTAATTTAAGAATTGTTGATTGTATTTTTACAAAATCTTTTTGCAAATGTTAAGTTGTTTTTAACTCGACATTTCGCAATATTTATATTTATTTGCAACTTGGTGCTTAGAGACCTTTTAGAATTGTAGGTGACTTCTTTGTCAGTTGTCAGCACACAAATAATACTCAGTGTAACCACCTGCTCTTCCAGATTGCCAAAGATGCCAAGGAGTGTGGCCAGGAGTGTGTGTCAGAATTTGTCAGCTTTATCACCAGCGAGTATCCTTGCCATTAAACAATGTGTGATGTTAAAGAATTTCATGTCTGTGGGGTATTATAGTTTTTGATGCAGTTTTTAAAAAGTGACAATTTTTTTTTCTGGAGCCTGCAAAATTTTCAGTTTGTGTTTTAAGTTGATATGTACAGCCTTGATTACCTAAACTGCACAAATAATTTACAACTACTACTTTGACAATGAGAAAATTATAAATATATAATAATATGTATTTATGTTCTTCCCCATACCATATCATATTTCCCTAACCTCATATCTCAGAGCCAGCGAGCGCTGTCATCAGGAAAAGCGAAAGACGATCAATGGGGAGGATATTCTGTTTGCCATGTCAACTCTTGGTTTTGATAATTATGTAGAACCTCTGAAGATATATCTACAGAAATTTAGAGAGGTAAATATTCCCATAAAACTTCCTGCATATGTTTAAGATAATGCTACAAAATTTACACAATATCAAATTTTGGTGTGTAGAACTCTGTTATTGATACATTTTACATATGGAAACGAGAAAGGCTGAGTAAATATAGTTGAATTGAAAAAACAGCTGAGGCTTTGTTTAAAATATTGATGTTGATGTTGTTGAGAAATTAATGAGCACTAGTTGATATATATGGCTGTACTTGTGAGCAGGTTTATAAAAATGTCAGAAAATATAATGTTCTGTGTGTTCACTGTGTGCTCCAGGCCAGTAAGGGAGAGAAGGGGATGGGCAGTGGTCTAGACAGTGATACAAGTGGAGTGTTAGAACTCACAGGAGATGAATCTCTAGGTAAAGTTATCAGACTGAGAGATTAAACTGCGTGTTTTCCATTGCTGTGCATTGTGTGTTTGTAAACAAGTAAATGCTTTATTATGCTCATCATAACATATTTTTTGTTAAGTTGTGATACAAATTTTGATTAGGCTTAAGTTACCAAAATTTTTGAGCAGTCATTTGTGCCAGAATGAGTCAGAAATGCAATATAAAACAAGATGGTAATCTAGATGTATATTTGCATGTTTCATCAGAATCTTCCTGATAGTATTAACTTAAGTTAGCCTATAGCAGTTGATTAAAACTGAAATATCTCCCATTTTCCAGCACAAACCATTTTAACTAGCAATGTGCTGACCTCTGACCTTGCTGGTCAACCAAACGTCATCTATTCTGGGGGCTACTCAAATCAGGTAGGTGGAGACGATGTCAACCATGACACTTCACATTGATAGTGTGATATATTGCACAATAGGATGGTCTTTGGTTTTTGTTGTTCCTTGAAATTTAACGACAACAAATTATGCACAGAATTGTGCCAAAAACTGTTGTTCTTTGTTATTGTCACATTTAATGCAAATTCCTAACCAAACTGAAAATGGCTTTACAGCAATGGCCAAAGACTCCGCTAGGTTTAAGTGTACTTGATTGTGAGAACTCCCATTTACATAATTTATTGAATGAAGTTGTTGGTATTTTTAAATCCATTTCTTTGTACTTGCAGATATCATTCACGTGATGACAGGCAGGGAATCCTGACCAATATTACAGCAACCATTCAGTAGACGGTGGGAACATGTCTTGTAGAGGAGGGGACATTTCAGGGTTTTCTTTCTCTGCATGGTACCATGTGTACAGTTCTAGATGACTAAATCTCAAGGACAGTGGCAGCTGATAGGCAGCTCTTGTTTTGTCAGAACTGAATAAGATAATTTGAGAGCACTGTTGGCCATATTGTAGTGCTGTACTCTTGGTGGTAGTCTTATACAGTAGACTAAATTATGTCTTGTAGACTACCATCAGTGAAAGCAATGACTAATTGTACCACACGATCATGTGACTGAATATGAATAGTTCCTACCTGAGAATGTGTATTTAATTTTATATTTACTAGTAACATATGGTTCTTTGTGTATTGTAATCTACATCTCAGAGTATGGCAATGTAGCACAAAAATGCCACAAAAATAGGATCTTGTTTACCTTTATGAATCTATAGGAAACTCCATTCAGGAAGCTCCATTCAGTGGGAATGGGTATCAGTACGTTTTGAGGCAGTTTGTTGTATGGGAAGAGCATGTCGGTGACATGGTGATAAAATCAAACGGAAGACCTGACTTCAAGGTAGACAGGGATTTTGTAATTTTTTTGGACACCAGCATAGCTGTTTAAAACTAGTTGTTTTATATCTTTGTCTATTAAAATATTTGTCACTTTGACAAGAAATGAAATATGAAGTTAATAAAAAGTGTGTAATTTGATATCTCCCTTGGTGTGAGTTGCTTAGGCCAAAGAATGGCATTTAAAATGTGCTGTGGGAAATAAGACAAATGATCCTACTAGTAAATAATTTTATTCAATATAAAAAGTGTATACTGTCCCCAAATACGTTAAAAAAGACTTCTGCTCCATTCTATTTCTTAAAAAAATATTTTAATGTTAAAAAATAATTATAAAATTTTGTTACATCAATATTTTATAATTATGTTCATAAGCACGGTATTGAATTTTATGTAACATTTCTAGAAGAGGTTAATTGATGAAAAAATAAATTCCAAACTGAACTGTTTTATCCTGTACTTCCACAAACAATATTACAACAGCCATGCTAGGAAATTCTAAAAATAAAGTTCTATTGATCTCTCACTCTTGAGGTGGTAATATAATAAACAAATAAATACACAAATAAAATAAATACTGCCCACATAATAGAATTTGCTCTACTTATGAATGGTCAAAGGTTTTGTTATTTGTTTACCAACAAAGAGAGCACCAAAAAGAGCATGGCTTTTACTGAGGCATTATAAACCATTGGTTATAGTAGAATTACTGGGCCAGTTGCTCCAGGCCTGGCATAGGCAACGGGTCACATTTTACTCCAGACTGTAGATAGTACAAAGACAAAACAGTCAACAGGTTTTGGACATTTGGAAACAAGTGCTGCTACAGACACCTTCCCTTGCACCTACCCAGTATGGACAGAAAGGCTGGTGAGAGGAAGAAAAAACAAGGTAAAAGGAAAGACCGGAGCTCCCCAAAACGGACCTTTTAGAAGAAATTATAGAGTGGGAGAAATGTGTTTTGTGCGAAAGTTGGGTGTATAAGATTTGTACAGAAGGTACTTTTCTGGACATCTTTTGGTGCACAAATTGCTGGAAGTCCATTGACTGTATATCCATGGAACAGATTGTCAGTGAAAAGCAGCCGC